TTTTTTTTTTTTTTTTTTTGCTTGCACTTTTTAGATTTAATCTGCTATTGATTCGATCGATCATCAAATTCAATTGTCTTTAGAATTTATTTGAATCTATTATCAAATGGTTATGATCTAACAATGAAGATTATATGACCGTCAACAGTCAACTAACAGATTTGTTAATTATAACAGTTACAACCTTTCATAAAAATCGTGTTCAGGGGATGCATGCTCAACTCAGAAAAAGGAACAAATTCTGATGCTCTGCTTGGACAGCCAAAAACGACAGATCTCATATGTAACGACATACTAGTTGGGGCGATCGTTTGGCACACAAAACTTGAGTTTAGGGTCGTTTGGCTGTTCTTATGTTCTGTAAACAATGGCAAAAAATCTGTCTTTTTTGCCATTGTTTTGCTTATTGTGCTCTAGTTTTTCTAAGCTATTTTGGGTTGTTGTGAATCGGCAGCATCATTAGCCGCACATCCTAATCACCGCAAATAATGGTGGAATCAACATTAATGCAAAGCATTGCATTGCACACACACAGACCAGTTTTCGTGATAATGTAAAAAAATCAAGGGGGGACATTTTACCGTGTTTGAGCCGACAGAGGAGTGCTGATGCTCTGCTTCGATAACCCCCAACCGTGAGTCCGACGGTTCTGGCAGCCAAGTTCGCCGACGGTAACGAAGACGGGAAGACCGGTACCGGAGACAACTCCTACGCACTCGGAAACGACGTTGCACACTACATCGACTCAACAATACTGCCAGTGGACTGTAGGACTTCACGCTCGGCGGACCAATTTTGTCCGATTTGAAAATTGAAGAAGATGGAAAATAGGGTTTCGTGTTGGGCGCACAATCAGGAAATGGGTGAGTATTGAGGGATTTATGGGGGCACGAGGAAGGAGGAACTCACGCGGCCATCGATTTGCACAAACCCACTGGATCAAAATAGCATCGCAGACTGCACGCGGCCTTGGGGTTCACGGAGGCGCAACTGTAGCAGATGGGAGATGAGGGAAGCGAAGGGCGAGAACCGGAGAGGGGCCCTTTCTCGTGAGCCAAGCAGCAAACCTTGGAAACGACAATGAATGGCAAGCAACGGTAACAAGGCATGTGAAAAGCAGGTATGCGCAGAGAATCTGCACTGTAGAAGACAGACTCGAGTTAAAGGAATATCAGGGGGTAGTTGATGTTTTATTACTCGAGTTCAAACTCGAGTTTTGAGTCTGAGTTTGAATTACCGAACGTGATATTAGGCTCAAAATTCAATCTGAATTAGGCTAACTCGAGTTTTGTGTGCCAAACGAACGCACCCTAAATGTACTGGTTTGATGATAATGGTCGGTCATAAACTGGAACGACCTATTTAGTTCATCGATTCAAATCACTGTAAATTTTGATTCTCAATTTAAATTTGGTAAGAGAACCCATTGATGCAAATAAATTCATTATTGATGAAATCCTTAATCACACCAAGATTCACCATGTTAAATCATCAGGAAGAATAGACTTAATCGAAAACGTACCTGAGTCTATAGGAACAGATTGTTTCATGAATCTTGTAGCTCTTGATCAATCTTTTGGTTATTAATCTTCTAAATTATTCAGTATGAATGCCTTGAGAAGGAATTTTCACTTTTCTAATGATGAGATGTCAGAAAAGTTTCATACATATAATTTGGGGACCACAACCATTTATATAGAAATTAACTTTTCATTATTTCTAATTTGACTAATCATAAAATAAGAAATAACGATTTAGTCTCTATACATATTAGGCTCACACTTATTAGATGCATTAAAGTCCAAATTATCTAAAACCTTATTTGAACACTTTAAATGAGCTTAACTTAATATGATAACATATAATATACAATTATATGCACGTCCAAAATCTAACACCCATTAGTAGGAACTTTTTTTATTTAAATTTTTTTTATGAGAGCAGAATTAAAATCATGAGTGCAAGTCTTAGAACTAGACGAGCCCGAGTACTTTTGGAGTTTTGAGCAAGAGGAGAGAGCTTGGTGGGGGAGGTTGGCATGGCTGAATTTCTTGTTCTTGCGTCTTGGTTATATTGAATAAATGGCGTGTAACACCATTCACTTATATATGTTACAATGTAAGACGATTTTTTTTTTTTTTTTTTGTTAAGAATTGGAACACATTTTCATAAATCAGTTTTCCCAAACTACTTACAAAGTTCAAGCCATTTTAGATGGCATGTTTCACTTCTATATCTTACAATATATCACAATCTTTTGTTAAGAATTGGAATGTGGCCATTTTCAGAAAAATTACTTTTCCCAAAATACTTCGGAAGTTCAGGCCATTTTAGAGTAGATGCGGACCGCAAAGGTATCTTCTAACCCACACAACATAAACTTAACTACATCATTATCAAGGATCGATAAGGTTAAAAATAATGAGAACCTATAAGTGTACACCTACATTTATAAGAGATACTGATGGACTACATATGTTTAAAATACGTTTCACTTTTTGTTTTTACTTTTTGAAATATTTTGTTTTTTGTTTTACTTTTGTGTTTTTTCTACTGTGACCACATGTTGGAAAATACTTTTTTTTTTAAGAAATTGAAATATTATTAGGGTCTGTTTAGTTCGCTGATTCGAATTTTTAATTCGAATTGAGATGTGATTTTATGTGAGAGCTTTTTACTGTAGTAAAAAAAAATTAGATGTGATTATTTCTGAGAGTTTTTTATTATAGTAAAACTCGAATCAGTGAAGTGAACGATGTCTTAATTCATCTGAGGTAAATCAGCAGTGATAGAACTGTTAATACAACTAAGATAACCGTCAATCCAAACACTAGCCTCACTAAAAGAAAAGGCTAATCGAGCTAATGTGTGGACAGCCATATTGCTCTCGCAAGAAATATGGTTACACGAACCACTGCCAACATCTAACAAGAGGACTTGAATGTCCTATATAATCGGGGACTCCGCAGCAAAATCTTGATCTTCATTCACTGCCCGTACTGCATTCAAAGCATCACTCTCGATTATTGAGACTCTAAATTCATTTCTGTTAGGACTGGCAAATTTGTTGATAAAAGGTTATAAATTCAAAAGCAAAATTAATAAAATTATGGATTACTATGCAGATTTTATTTTTGGCTACTTGCACCGAATTTGGGATGATTTTCTCAATAAAAAGAAATAAGTTTATGGAGTTGATTTGGTCGACTTTTGGTGGCTAATTGATGGGCTCCATGTATGGGAAGAATCCTTAGATGAGAAGTTGTTTTATGTAGGGTGATTTTAGTGGAAGAATAGACCAATTTGGGGTGTATATATTTAGTTTGCAGCCGTGAACGTAGGAGTGCCTTTGAGTGAAATATTCTACAAAAAAAAAAAAAGCTGCTTTGATGTTCTTTGAGTGAAAAAAATAAAAGGTGGTTCTTCGGGAGAAGAACGTATTACTTTCGAGAGAAAGTTTTTAAAGACGAGTAGTGCTCGCTGAACAAGGTCACTAAGAGATTATCCACAGTAGTGACAACATTAAAGAGGGAGTCTTTGAGTGTGTAAGATCGATTGGTGTTTGTAATCTCTTTATCTTAGTGGATTGTTCACTGTTTGGGCGTGGCCTCGTAGATTTAGGTGTGCGCACCGAACTGCGATATCAATTTCTTGTGTCTTTTATGTTTCTGTTGATCTTTCTGCACTTATAATTTACTGCTGCTGAATAAAAAAAAATTATATCCATATGCACATATTTGTCATCAGTGTTACAATAAGTGTTATAACACTTTTTGTGACACTGACTAAAAAACAGACATAACAATTTATATCCTTCCAGACAAACCACAAGATTAGACAAAACAACTCAAATTCTTTCAGACGAAAAGTTGCTGCTACGGATTGTAATAGAACATCCATCCTATCATGCTTGAACCGCTGTAATTGGTCCCAAAAAATACTTTGACACCATATTCGGATAGCGGCATTACAGGATATAAGCGCATGAAAATTTGTCTCTTTTGCCTCTTGACACCTTCTACATCCAGCCAAGCATTTAACACCATGCAAAGCTAAATTATCCCATGACAGGAAGAATATTATGATAAAGTCCGCCATATAAAGATTTTTACCTTGTGTGGAATATGCAAATGCCACAGTCTTCCACCACTTTTGGTCCACACACCCACCTGAAGATCCTGCTTCATTTCGTCTTCGCATTGCTTCGAAGTAGCCGGATTTAACAGTGTATTTTCCTTTCCCATCAAAATGCCAAACAAGCCTATTTTGCTGCCGAACCATTCCAACAGGGATGCTCATGATTGCCTCTACATCTATCCTTAGAAATAATGAATTAAGACTCCGTTCATTTTACCGATTCGAGTTTTATTACAGTAAGAAACTTTTAGAATTAGTCACATCTAATTTTTTATTATAGTAAAAAACTTTCATATAAAATCACATCTTAACTCGAATTAAAAATCTGCATCAATGAACTAAACGGACTCTAAGTAACTCTGTGTTCCAACCAAGAGGATGACGAAGCTGTATTATCCATCAATTCAGCCACAAACCAATTACGATTTTCATCAGTTGGCTAAGTAATTGGTTTAAACAACTCCGGGGTTGGTAGCCATGGATCATCAAAAATTTTGATCGACAAACCATCACCTACTCTCCATCGCAGCCCGGTCTGTAGGAGTTTTCGTCCCCATAGAATGCTATGGCAAATGTATGATGGATTACTGCCTAGTTTGGCCTGCAAAAAATGGTTAATAGGAAAATACCTTGCTTTAAGAACTCGACCCGCCAGAGAATTTGGGTTCTGAATGAGCCTCCATCCTTGCTTGGCCTTCACTAAAACTTCCTTTCCTCCTTGCGAAGAAAGCATGCCTTTCCACAGTTGGATTTTCTTACCAACCCTCTCTTTAATAGCATGAAACGTTTGCTATTTATTTTTTCCCGCAAGCGTAGGAAGACCCAAGTAACGATCATGAGGATTTGCAGCAATAAAACCCGATCTACGTCCTCCGCATTTGGGCTAAACGTTGCCGCAGACTTGGAAAAGTTGATACTCTGCCCAGAGGCTGCCTCATACGAACCTAGAATCTCCTTGGCTTTTTGACATTCATCCACTCTGGCTTTACAAAACACCAAGCTGTCATCTGCGAAAAATAGATGACTAACTTTGGGACCATATCTAGAGCAAGCAAATCCTGTTACCGTTCCATCTCTCGCTGCACTGTGAAACAGAGTTGACAAGCCCTCGGCACAGACTAAAAATAGGTATGGAGATAACGGTAGAGTTGTCAAATGAGCCGAGCCGTCCATAGAGGTCCCGGCCCAGCCCGTAACAGTGCCGGATTCGGCACGGCACGGTACGGTACTGTTAAAGAAATTCGGAATTGGGAGGATGAAAAGAATAGACAAAGCAGAAAAAATGGTTTGAGGCATATATGAATACTTTCCTTTAAGGTTTTATTTGCCCTCACTTTTCAAAATTTGCTAATGAGTTTTAAATGGCAAATTACCCCCAAGATACAACAAACTCTTGAACACAATATCTAGCAAAAAATATTGAGTTCCAAAACAATATATATATCTGTATTTTCTGAAGTTCATCATATAAAGACAGGGATGCATCCATCCTCTTTAAGTGTTACAACCTTTCACATAAAGATACCTTTTCAATTTGATGGTTATCTTTTATATGCTGATGCACTTATATCAATAGTTATTTCTATTGTTAATAAGTGCTCAGATATATGAGAAAACATATCACAAATAGATGCAATGGTTCGAAACCTTTTCAGATCACTAAAACACACGAATTCATTTTCCGTCGACAATTTGCGCTGTAGCGCCCAAGAGGCGCGCTGCAGCGCGCGGGCTTAGCAAAACAGACCCAAGGGGTCTGTTTTGCACAGGTTGCAGCGCCCAGGGCGCGCTGCAGCGCACGCTACTGTGCGCTGCAGCGCGCGGACCTAGCAAAAACAGACCCGAGAGGTCTGTTTTGCGCAGGCTGCAGCGCCCAAGCGCGCTGCAGCGCGTCCTTGCTTCAGCCCACACTTCCCGAATGTGTAATATTTCTTCAGAATTAACAACGATAAATACATACATACATGAAGGTATCTTTCGATTTTAACCTTTACTTAGTGACTATACTTCAAAGTATTCACAAGACAATAGTGTGCTTTGCATTAAACTTTGTCTGTTAAGCAAATACCGAAAATATATGACATATGTGTTATCCCAGATTTCAAAACTGTTCCAATTGTTTAGCACTATTCCG